GAACCGATCGGATTTTGTCACTAAGGATGTGCCAAGTGACGATGGGTGGCTGGTTGTTTATAATTTGTGATTGGGTGTGGCTGGAATCTCAATCTAGGGTTTAAAAATGAATGAAATTGGACTGTTTGGGGGAAATAAAATTGGGGAGGAAGTGATAAGTCGAAGAGGAACTAATTGTTGATGTAATATCGGCTCTGTTTCTTTGGATTAATTTGTATTTTTCATTTAGTTAGATTTTTGTTTCAAATCCTTACTGTTGATGTTGAAGCAAACATGGGAGTTTCATCATGAAAAGAGAGGGGAGGAGAGAGATAGTCTTAACGTGAAAAGAGAGAGAGGGAGGGAGTGCACAGCGTTTTTATTTTTTAATTTTTTTATAAGGGTAAACTTGGAATGTAAAAGTCAATTAGTATGATATATTAATAATATTGTTTTAAGTATAAAAAGAGAGACACATGTCAAGAGAGAAAGGGAGAAGGTCCAAAAGAGAAGGTTATATGGAAGTTTGCTAGCATTCCCCTTTATATAAATATGATGACAATGTAATGCTGAATAAGCTCTCTCTCTCTTCTGTCTTCACTCTGCTTCTCAACCACTCGCAAGTCACAACGGCAACACAACAAACCCAAGTAAGATAGGTCGTTCTCTCCAATCTGATTGCTTTGGTTTATAATTTCTGATGTGGGAAAGTTTCATTTCTCTTCATCTTACTTTGCTATATAAGATGTGGGTTAGTTTGAATTAGGAATTTGGATTGTCTAGAAATTTTTTCCTGATTGTGGGTTTTAATCTAGATTATGAAAAAACAAAGACATATATGAAATCTACAACATAAATAGATGAATTCTTGATTTTATGAAGCAGAATGGTTTTGGTATTGTTGAGATGGTCAAATGGTATATAGGTGGAGCTTTCTCTTGTCCATGTACTGATAGTCAACAATTGTAATATGAAAATTCAATCTTTCCCAAGTCCAAAGGTGGGCGGTGAAATGAGCAGATTTTTATGCTAATCAAATTCAGTATTTCCCATACAAAAATTCAACCTTCATTGTTTTGGCCCTTTATCTTCTTCCCAAGTTTTGTATGCTAGTCAAACACTTACCTTCTCATTCCTGTGATAGTTTCTTGTGCTAGTTGTTTTATTTTATCTCTATAATTGATTTCTTTTCTTTTCTTTCTGATACTGGTGTATAAAACAGAAAAGAACCGATGACTGATAACTCACAGGGAAAAAAATTATATTGAGTTTGGAGGTTTATCACTTCTCAGACTATTCCATCACTTAATTCAAAAGGGCAGGGCTGCCTGACTGGTGAAATTGATGGAGGGTTCGATCAGGTGTTCTGCCAACTACATCCCCCTCTCTCCAATCAGCTTCCTGGAGCGCTCGGCCATAGTCTACAGAGACAGGCCTTCTGTTGTATACGGAAGCATCCTCTACACTTGGAGAGAGACACTTGAACGATGCACCAGACTCGCTTCTGCTCTTTCCCAGCTCGGAATTTCTCGTGGAGATGTGGTTTGCAACAAACTACTTATCTTATGTTATTGTACAAGTTTTGCTCTGTTTGTTCCCATTATTGACTAGTTTGCAATTTGCATCTTCATTTTTTATGGTTTCAGTGGTTTGGTTTGTTTATTTGCTTTTTGTGTTTCCTTTGGGGGAAGTTTGGATTTGTGACATGTCCCAATATCCAATCAACATAGTGAGGGAGAGGAGGTTGGTTGTGATTATTTAAGTCCTGTGGTTCTCCTTGCTTTCAGATTTTGATGATGTTTTTGAGTCGTTACTACCATGTTCCGGCCACTTTGAACACATTTGTAGCTGAAGTAATTGAATTTTAAAGTTTCTCCTTTAAGAGTGATTCACCAAATCCATGTTTATTTTGGCCATCCTTCTGTATCTCCATGAGATTCAGTCTAGCCAATGATGTGCATGTCATGCTCACAGTGCAACACTTTTTTCTCCCTGAATTTCTTTTCTAATTACCCTCTTCTTCACATAAGGCTTGGGGTATATAAATCATTAAAACTATTGATTTCTTTTCTTTCTTAGATTTTACTCCTCTTTGCCTTATTCTTAAAGCACCAGTGCAGATTAATTCGTGATGTCCTTTTCCCACAGGTAGCTGCATTGGCTCCAAATATCCCAGCAATGTATGAGCTCCATTTCGGCGTTCCAATGGCTGGCGCAATTCTCTGTACACTTAATGTACGCCATGATTCACAAATGGTGTCAGTATTATTAAAACATTCTGATGCCAAATTCATTTTTGTAGACTACCAACTTTTCCATGTTGCTAAAGGAGCATTTGACATCCTGTCCAAGACTAGAACCAAGCTACCTGTTCTAGTCTTAATCCCAGAGAGTGATCAATGGTCCCCTGAGTTCTGCAACCCCATTTCTGGGAACTTGGAATATGAGAGCCTATTAGGAAGGGGAAAACTCGATTTTGAGATCCAACGGCCAAAAGACGAATGGGATCCAATTTCACTCAACTACACTTCAGGTACTACATCAAGCCCAAAAGGTGTCATTTATAGCCACAGAGGTGCCTATCTCAATTCGTTTGCAGCAGTTCTTCTCAATGAGATGCCCTCAATGCCTGTGTATTTATGGTGTGTGCCCATGTTTCATTGCAATGGCTGGTGCCTCACTTGGGCTGTGGCTGCTCAGGGTGGCACCAATATCTGCCAAAGAAATGTCACTGCAAAAGGAATATTTAGCTGTATTTCTCAGCACAAGGTGACCCACATGGGTGGTGCACCCACCATTTTAAACATGATTGTAAATGCACCAGAAAATGAGCGAAGGCCACTTCCGGGCAAGGTAATAGTCATGACTGGAGCTGCACCGCCACCAGCCCAGGTACTATTCAAAATGGAAGAACTAGGGTTCAATGTAACCCACGCATATGGTTTGACAGAAACTTATGGTCCTGGGACAGTTTGCAGTTGGAAACCTGAATGGGATTCCCTGCCTCGGGTTGAACAGGCAAAGATCAAGTCTAGACAGGGGTTGCAACATCTTGGCATGGAGGAACTCGATGTTAAAGATCCTGTGACCATGAAGAGTGTACCATCTGATGCAAAAACCATGGGTGAGGTTATGTTCAGGGGCAACACCGTGATGAATGGATACTTGAAAGATCATCAAGCAACAAGGGATGCATTTAAAGGTGGATGGTTTCGTAGTGGGGACTTGGGGGTGAAACACCAGGATGGTTACATAGAACTAAAGGACCGTTCGAAGGATATTATCATTTCTGGGGGCGAAAATATTAGCACAATTGAGGTGGAATCAGTGCTTTTTAGTCATCCAGATATTCTTGAGGCAGCTATTGTGGGAAGGCCTGATGAATATTGGGGGGAGACACCTTGTGCATTTGTGAAGTTGAAGGATGGCTGTAACACTGGTACAGAGGAGATTATTAAGTTTTGTAAGGATCGGTTACCCCACTATATGGCTCCTCGAACAGTTGTTTTTGAAGATCTGCCAAAGACTTCAACCGGGAAGGTGCAGAAGTTTGTATTGAGACAAAAGGCTAAGGCCATGGGAAGCCTTACCAAGAACACCATCAGCAAACTGTAAAGCCCCTTGTTGTAGCTGATGACTGTTTTATTTCAGAGACTGTTTCTTTCAAGTTGTAAGTAGGCGTTGTCAATTGCCATTTGTTCTGCTACTCCATCCACACTTTTATCCTGTGAAATTTAGTAATGGGAACTTGTAAGTGTGCCGCTTTTTAATTCCTCTTTTTACATTAATGCAGGAAAACTTTCGTCAGTTAAACCAGAAAATTTTAAGTTGGATTAAATTCATTCTGATCCAGAAAGAGTGTACCTAAATTCAGCAGAATTAATAACTCCAGTTAAGATCAAATACAAGAGGCTAAATTACATCTTTTAGGCCTCCCTTGTCGTCAATCAATTCTCTTCAAGCTAAACTTTGGGCCATGAAAACTCAACTTCACTGCACAATACGGTAGGTGTTCTAAAGCTTGTAAGAAGGTTTCAAATCCATGTAAACATATTGTTCATGACCAAAAACTATTATGTAATGCATAAACTGAAATTCGCTTAAAACTGCAAACAAAAATTTGTCTACAAACGCGTGCGTTTTACTTAAAGATAGTCCAGAACTAGGGTTGATTTTCGGAATGAAAATTCTATTTCAATTGTGTTCCAAAACAAATTCGGAATTTCAATATTCAGTCCAATTTGGAGAACTTTGAATTTTTGGAAAAATTTCAGAACATGCATATTTCGGAATTTTCCTGACAAATTTCAGAAACTAGTTAAAAAAATTTAAACATGACCAACCTTTTGAAGGGTTGAAATTGGCTCAAAATTGAAAACTCATACCGAAATCTCAAAAAACTACTATTTGCTAGTACTTAGATGTTTTTATCCTTTATGGAATAACTTGTCTATGTCTATTTTGTCATTAAATTATAATTAAAATTTGTAATTGTGTGTAGTTTAAAGCTGGAAACCCCAATATATTTCAAAATTCATAATTTTTCAGAATCTTGAATTACATTCCAATTCCTATACAATTTTTTTCAGGAATTTTCGGATGTCAAAATTAATTTGGACTTGCCAAAATTGGAAATTTTCGAGTCAGAATCAGCTGGAATTGGATTTTCCAATCCAACTTCACCCCTACCCAGAAGCATGTATATATAGCCATAGTTTTGATTTTGAAAGAATTCCCACACTTCGAGTGGGATTGATTTCTCCATCAAATAACTGCAAAATTGAAAAAATTGAAATTAGCATTAAAAAATGAGGCTAACGACATATGTTCAGGGTGACTTTCGAAATGAGCCACGGGATTTCAATTTTGTCAATTTAGACCATAATGTTTTAATATTCGATTTTGTCAATTTAGACCATAATGTTTTAATATTCGATCAATTTATATATTCCGTGAATTTGACCATTTAATCTTATGTTAAGTTGATGACGTGTCCAGTGTTCTTATGTTAAACTAAGAAATGAATGAACATGATTCTCCAGTATCAAACAACACTTCAACAAAACTATTAACAATAGTCAACATAACTTCCACTTCCTCATTTCTCTGCCACCCAGTGAACACTCAAGTCTGCCCCTGAGTGCAATTTTTAGCAATATGCCCCGGCTGACTGCAAGTGTAACATACACGAGCACTGCGATTAATACAATCTCTAGCCATATGTCCAACTCCACCACAATGGTAACACTCCCCTAGCCCACCCTGTTGACAAGATGCAACTGTGATGTCTTCATACAGAGTTGTCGTTCTCTGTTTCTTTCTAATACCACCATGTTTACCAGAGTCATAGCTACTCTGAGATGATGTCTTCCCTTTGCCCTTATAGTCTCTTTGTTCATCCTGGTACAGTCTGTACGGCTCAATAGTATTCTCGACTGCCATGGCACAGTGTACCGCCTCAACTAAGGTCTTGTGTGTCTTGGCAACCACATACATGCCGATATGATAAGCCAATCCCTCCTCAAACCGACGAGCTGTCAACTCCTCATCCAACGCCGGTGCAAAACGAAGCAACTTTGAAAATCTGGACTCATATTCCCTTACAGTTAGGGACCCTTGTTTAAGTTCCAGGAACTCAAATTGTAGCTCATTTTTCACAACATCAGGAAAGTACTTATCATAAAAGAGAGCCTCAAACTCTTCCCAATCCATCTCGGTCTCATCCTTGGATTTGACCACAGTATCCCACCACACACGAGCCTCCTCCTGTAAGAGAAAAGCGGCTACCTTCCTCTTTTCCACACTTGTGATTTCAATTATACTAAAGCAGTTCTTCAGGTTACGAATCCAGTAATCCGCCATCATGAAATCACTCTCCCCAAAGAAATGTTGAGCTCCTAGTGCCTTGAGCTCAATGATCAATGCACACAATCGAGAATTAGCAACATGTTCAGGCGATGGAGGATCCCCAGAAGCAGGTTGAGCAACTCCATGTCCTCTGGCCTGTAAGAACTCAGCAAACAACTTTATCGTATGAACATCCAACTGTACAGGAGGCACAGGTGTTGCCCCATGCGAAACTTCCGGCTCCTGCTCAAAATCTTCTGGAACCTCTGAAACAACCTCTGGCTGTGGTAAAGCTCCGGCTCTACTTCTACCTCGGCGGCCTATGCATCTTCCTCTTCCTCTTCCTTTTATTGGGCCCATTTCCTATCAGAAAACAAGGCCAACAGTTAATTAAACATTTGGATACCCACTCTCTGATAAACAAGCATTAAATTAAGACCACTTCAAGTTAAACAACAACAACAACAAAGAGACTCCTTCCACTGAAACTTAATACCTCACTTAGATCTAACAAAACCCGCTTCCTATAGCTCTCACGCAAACGTACCATCCATGGAGATTTTTTTTTCTTAAGCACAAACAAACCTGAGCACACCATAGATAAAAGACAAAAGTCACAATAAACAAAAGTCAATGAAACTATCGCAAATCTGAGCACACCCTCATGCTCAGGACATAGAGGACTACACACCGAGCCAAATACATAAATTCAACAGTACCCCACGGGCCTCCCCGCTGGTGGTTTGCCGGAGTAATTTTTGGACGACGAAAAACTTCAAATAACCAGTCATAGTTTATACCAAAATGAAGAACTTTAACGACTAAGAAACTTTGGTTGTTGGACCATACCTGAAAGATGGGCGGAAGTAACCCAAATCGCCGGTCAAACTCACAGTGACCGGAATTTTAAGAAATTTTGGAGCTAAAATCCGCAGCGAAAATTGGCAAATCGGAGTGGATGATCACTGATTGATGTAGAGGGGAATGATGAGAACATTTAGCAACAAAAATACCGGCAATCTGAGGTCGGACGAAGCTGGTATCTCGCCGAGAAATACCCCCTCCGGCGAGCTCGCGTGAGAGAAAGAAGAAGAAGAGCCATAATGCGTAGAAGGGCGGGTATCAGAATTTCAGTCTCATGTTTCCCACTTTCCCAAGTACTCGTGGCAGGGGTGTTCTTGACGTGGCAAGTGAATTCACCCCCACATGTATAAAAATATAATTAACTATACTAATAATTAAAAATAATTAAAAATTAAAATAAATCAGAAAAAACAAACGTATTCCCCAAACCTTTGAGGCGATAAGAATTCATACGAGGGCAAAGTTGAAATTTTATATATAATTAAAGTGCTGTTATGATGAGTTAGCACATATTTGATATGACATGAATTAGAAGCACTAAAGTTTGCACGAGTCAGGACTCAGTCGCCCGTACAACTCTGTCTCATGTATGTCCATGTTCATTGAAATCCAGACAGTGAGAAGCTTCCTTAGCCCCCCCTCCCCTGTCTTTTGCTTCTGCAACAGAACCACCTCTCAACTCAAAGACCCGGAAATTTTCTTCAAGTTTGTTCCCTTTGTCTGTAGCAATTCTTCGACTTTTGTTGAGCACTTGAGTTGAGTTGAAGCGCCATATTTTCTTGGGCATCAAAATTCAGCAGCACCCATAAAATTGGTTTTTGTTTTTTGGATTCTTTGCTGAAAGTTCACTTTTCTTCAATTTGGTATTGCTTTTGGTATTTAAAGGCGGTTTAAACTTTCAAACTTTTGGCCACCAAACGTTCTGTGCTTTGACTGACTGGTAGTGGTGGGTCAATTTACAGTTAGCAAGTAGAGCTGTCAATGATCCGCGTATGCAACAGCTAAGTTTCAATAATTTAGACTCTGTGTGGAGCTGTTTAAGTTTTTTGAAATTGAGGGACTGGTGGGTCTTGGTTGTTGGTTGGGCTTTCTTGGTTTCTCAGCTCTTCTCTCTGTGTTGAACTTGAGGTTCTGGATATTGGGAAGTGATATTAAAGGGTTTGAGGGTTGTTGTTTTGGTGTGTCTTTTGTTGTTGTTTGTCTTTATTAACATCCTCAACAGCAATTTCAGTAGATTCATTTTGGTACTGGGAACTGAATTGTAAGTTATTGCAGTTGCGATTAGGTGGTGGTTTTGGTTGATGTTGATATTGCCTCATGCTTTCAGATTCACTTTTTAGTGAATTCAAGAATTTGGATATTAGGAACTGAAACTAAGGTTGTTGGAGTTGTGGTTTCGTGGATTTCGATTGCTCAAGCCTTGCACTAGACGAAATGGGGAGTAATGGGGTTGACCATCCCTTGAAAGATTTGGAAGAGGAAAGTGTTAGCAGCCAAGAACAGAGTAGGGATTTTCAGTACGCTTGTGGAATTTATTATAAGTCACTAGAAATGGATAATAAAATAAGTCTTCAAATGAACAATTTGGATGCAGGTTCTTTTCGGGAGGAGAGGAATCAGAAGATAAATTCTTCTCGGCACACTTCGGTTTTAGAGATTTTTCAGTCAAAAGAGATCAATGTTGGTTCTTCACCTCAGAGAGGTTAGTGCCCGCGTAGTCTGAGTTATTATTGCTTTTCTAGTTTGTTATGCATTGAAGGACTTAAAATGAAGCTTTTTCCGGGAAGAGAGTTGATCAGCTTCTTTCTCTTTAGTGTGAACTATATGCTTCTAATCATTTCTAGACAATATGGAATTATTTTTATTTGGCCGAGAAAATTGATATTATCTCTTCATAACCAGAGTTTGTTAATTTATTTGTCTATACAATGGGAAAACGAAAACCAACAAAAGCAGCTATACCTTTGTAGTTATTACTGTATGTTTATCTATAGTTTAGTAATCAGAAATTACTTTGTGAAGTTCCTTCTAGATGAAATATAGATGCCCAGATTGAAGTGGTAGAGCAAAACCGAAAAAGAAACAAAAAGTAAAACTTTATGTGGTCTAAATCGTGGAAACAACTCAGACCATAAAATTGAGGGTTTTATATGATTATATCCACCATTATTGTTGTGGCCAAACCTATTACTAAGCTTGTAATTGGATCGTAGGATGACATGAATCTTATTATGATCCCATTAGTTGGATAGTCTGATTATGATCTGAACCGATAACCCAATTAGTAGGATGATATGATCTGAACCGTTAGTCCAATTAGTAGGATGATATGATCATACTGACCCCCAATGTTGCTGGACTTTAACAGCATATTAGAACACCTTTACCATATGTTGTTCTGTTGTTTTAGTGTTTATTGGATATATGCTCACTGATACCTAAGCATATGTTAATGAAGGCTTGGACCATTACATCACTGCACCTATTGGCACTCCCAAAGGTTTACTAATTGAGGATCATGAGATTAAATTCTCTAGATCCATGACTGAGAAGAAGGGAATTCCCAGGCATGACTTCAAGCTGGATAGACTGTCAGAGCGTGAAAAGGTAGATACCATCATCTGCATGAGCTAGTTCATTGCCATACTCATGTTTGCTTATAACTTTTTCTTTGTCTAGCTGCAGAAGGTACAAGAGATGTGCATTATTCATTACAAACATGCTTGTTTGGGCTAGTTTCATTCATGCAACTGCAACTTAATGCTGAATGTTGTTCCCTAATTTCATTTGCAAAGCATGAGTGTCCGACATAGTCCCTGTCTTACAGTATCTTATACTGTTTCCAGACCTGCTGATTAAATAAGAATAATGACATAAATTGAGTTATATCACTGCTAAATAATTTAGTGGCTCCAACCACTGAGTCTGCTAGTTATCCTCCATCCTCCAGATCAGCATTAACAAAAAATTTAAATGTAGATGGTTTTATTTACTCTTGGTACGTTTTTGTGGTTCATTCTCCTCTTGGTTGATCATTATTTTTGTTTTTCGTTTGCAGAAAAAATTAATTGTTGAGATGGTCAAGATACAAAATGATGGAACAGTAGAAGTTGATTTAGAAAAAAGTGCACCTGTTGCCTCTGAGTTGTTAGAGCTCCAGAGTATTGAAGATGTGCCTGTCAATCTTGATAATATGACTTCCAGTACTACCAAGTCAATTCCAAGGTTGAAAATTGCCATACTTGTGGTCGGAACAAGAGGAGATGTACAGCCTTTTCTGGCTATGGCGAAGAGATTTCAGGCATGTCTAACATAACTGGATGACTTTGTTTTGAATAGCTTGCTTTTGATGCCACTGATTTCTTTGTATTTTCGTAGGTATTTGTAGTTTAAATATCATGATATGTCTTCAGTGTGAAAGAATTCCTTCAAAATCAACATTTCATCAATCCAGATTACATTTAAGATCCATGTAACCTTATATGATGATCCATGTAACCTTGGCATTCAGTCTGTACTTGTAATACAAATTTTTATTATACAGATGTTATGCAGATTCTACTTGATGTAGTGGTTCTTAAGCAAGTGCAGATATTGTTGATATCTTTATGGTTAGGTGTTGTTTTGTTGGTCCAATGATTGCATTCTGAAGCTTAGTTTTGTACCACTGTTGTGATATGTAGCGTCTCAAAGTTTTGGGCTAAAATGATGTGGATGGTTAATAATTGTAACGTTGTCCTTGCCATAAAATAATGTACGGTACCTACCTTACTGTCTACATTTATTTTCTCTATGGTTTAATGATTTTAGATGGTTTGATGTTTTCTTGCAGGAGTTTGGCCATCATGTTAGGCTGGCAACTCATGCTAACTTCAGTGCTTTTGTAAAGTCGGCTGGTGTAGACTTTTATCCTTTGGGTGGTGATCCTCGTGTTTTGGCAGGATGTAAGAGGTCCCTAATGTTAAAAATACTTTTTTGATAATATATTGCAAATTATCTTATTTTTGTGGTGATATTGTTGGTAGATTCACTTCCTGTGTCCCTGTCTATTTTGCCTGATATTTGGTCAGTTCTACCATGCGATTCTTTAGAGGTGTGACAGAAGCATTAATAATTTTCTGGCTCATGCTCCCTCTCCCTCTCTCCATAATTTCTTATCAAAGTCAATCTGTAAGAGTTTGTGTGAAACTCGAGTTAAATATTTGATTGTTGACTGCTTTAGAATTACTAACTTCTATATTTTTTTAGCCAAAATTGAAGATTTTCCATTGCTAGGACTTTAAATTGAAGGACAATCTTTAACATGTCTAAATATATTTAATGTTATCACATCCTCCCCACAAGTTCTTTATTGAATAACTGAAATTCAGTGCCCTTTAATTTTAGATATGGCCAGAAACAAAGGTCTCATTCCATCCGGGCCAGCAGAAATATCTATACAAAGAAAGCAACTGAAGGCAATTATTGAATCTCTTCTTCCAGCCTGCACAGAACCAGATATAGAAACTGGTGTGCCTTTTAAGGCACAGGCAATTATTGCAAACCCTCCTGCTTATGGTGAGTTCTCACAAGTGGAATATTTAATGTCACTTCAATTGAGTTATATTTTCTTTAAGTCAGTATGTATTGCTGTCTACGCCAGGGTTTTAGAATGAACTTCCATGGACAATAGATTAGAAAGTTGTGTTCGTAGCTTATGATTTGGTCCTGTGTTTTTCTCTAAATGTTGTGTTGCTTGTGTAAATCTTAACATTTCGTTTCAGATTTCTTGCATCTTACCTCATCTTTTATTACCGGACCATGCCATTCTAATCAAGTTTAATTGAAACTCTAGACCCTCCCTTGTAGTGTATATATTGGGTGCAGGGTCCTATCGAGCTTGAAATCAGAATAGCTTCCCCATTGATCTAGGAGAATAGCACAGTGGTTGGATTGGAAGCCATGCACTGAAATATAGACTTAGTAACAGATGGTTGTAAACATATTGGGCCTGGCCTAGTTACAACTTGGAAGTATAATTATTTATTGGAGAATACGACCTTATTTCTAGTGCAGATTTTAAGAGTAAATAGATATGTCTCCATGGTTGCTAATTCCTTAAAGTCAAATAGTTTTGGTGGAATATGTTGTCTCTTTGTAGATCTGCCAAGTAAAGAGAAAAATGTGAGGAGAGAGGAACTTAGTCTTAACCTTATCCTCCTGTTATATAAGAATATATGAACATATTCCTAACCACTTCTTTTCTTGCAGGACACGCTCATGTTGCTGAAGCTCTTGGAGTACCCCTTCATATTTTCTTCACAATGCCATGGACGTGAGTTTTGACCAGTTCTTTTCTTGCATTCTTTTGATACAGAAAAAACACCGTTTATAAATTGAATGTTCTTTGACAAATTGTGAAACATAAATCTTGGATAATTTTCAGGTGAGTGTTTGCATTAAATATATATATATATATATATATATATATATATATATATATATATATATATATATATATATATATATATATATATATATATATATATATATATATATATATATATATATATATATATATATATATATATATATATATATATATATATATATATATATATATATATATATATATATATATATATATATATATATATATATATATATATATATATATATATATATATATATATATATATATATATATATATATATATATATATATATATATATATATATATATATATATATATATATATATATATATATATATATATATATATATATATATATATATATATATATATATATATATATATATATATATATATATATATATATATATATATATATATATATATATATATATATATATATATATATATATATATATATATATATATATATATATATATATATATATATATATATATATATATATATATATATATATATATATATATATCCCCAGTCTGCTTTCCAATGATTGGAACCGCCCATTTCTTAGGTTCTCTTCTAGGAATCATCCGTGCAAAAGATCAGCCAAACAGAAAATTGTTTAGCCATTTGATTGCAATCAAAGTAATTTTGGTTTTAGCTGACAGATTGTTTGAAAAATTTAGATGACCAAACAGTTACCGGTTTGGTGAGTTTTTACATGGATGATGCTTAAAGAGCGACCCAAGCAATGGACCTTTCTAATCATTGAATTGCATTTCAGGGTGACCCGAGAGAGGATGTTCACATGTATCTTAAAATGCAAACATCCTCACTTTAAGGGCTGACATATGTATATTGCAAGCATGTATCATGTCAACTTTTACTTCTCCTGAAGAATCTATATTTCTGAACTAGAGTGATGCTTAGAATAATTCGTACTAAGTCAACAATAAGATGGCCCAGTTTCACTTGTTTACACGTGTCTTGTATACATGAGTAGATTAATAATATCCATGTGTATGTGTCTCAAGTAATGTTCTCTTGGAAGACAATCTGACATGTTGTGTTTGACTGTCAATCTTCTAGACCACTCATTCAAACAAGAATCCACTTGAGAAGTTGTTCAAATTGACAGTAGGAAAATATGGTAGACTGTTTAATTAGAGAATGTTTCCCTATATATATATTCAGTACCATTCTAGTAAGAGGCTAAGAAAAGAGGCAACTCAGGATGTGATCGTAGATTGTTAGGTCCAGGATTAAAACACTTTCATGGATGGGATCAGAATGCTCCCATTTTGAGCCTTTTGATCTTCACCAGTGATAGATATCTAAGAGCCAGGATTACCTCCATAAGTTTCTTCCTTAGTTTAGATCTTAGAAAGTGTCAAGTCAAGTATATGCAAATATAATTACTTAATATATACCACCCAAAAGCACAAAAGGTTGGAAAAGACTTTCTCAGTCACATGGACTACATTGATATTTTAAGTTGACATGTATGAAATTACTCAAGAGATTCTAATTAATGAAGTTTAAATATTTTATGCTCTTATTTGTTATTATTTTTCCAGTAACATGTGAATACTGGCTTATTTCGATTGGAACTATTTTCTATGTTATGCCATCTTACCTATCTTTTCTATAGGCAGGCCTACTTATGAATTTCCTCATCCCCTGGCACGTGTACCTCAAAGTGCTGGTTATTGGGTATGCTCTTTGTTTAGTGTTCTATTTCTATTTATTTTATTGTCATATTTTTGAATTACTGAACTAACTTCATGACAAATTTATTCCCATTTGTCTTTGCCACATCCAGCTTTCATATATTGTTGTGGATTTGCTGATATGGTGGGGCATTAGGGGATATATTAATGACTTCAGAAAAAAGAAGTTGAAGCTTGCTCCTATTGCATACTTCAGCACATACCATGGATCAATATCTCATTTGCCAACGGGCTATATGTGGAGTCCTCATGTTGTGCCAAAGCCAAGTGGTAAGTCATTGTGTTAGTCACTGCCAGTGTGAATGTATGCTATGTTTATGCTATATTTGAAAGTTTAATGGAGTTCGTCTCAATGTGAATATAACAGCTGTCATTTGACACCTTCCACTGTCTTAGTCACTGCCAGTGTCAATGTATGCAATGTTTATGCTATGTTTGTTGGAAGGTTTGACAATGTATAAAACTTGCAGATTGGGGACCTCTTGTGGATGTTGTTGGTTATTGTTTCCTAAACCTTGGGTCAAAGCATCAACCTCAAGATGAGTTTGTTCAATGGATTCAAAAAGGGTCGAAACCTATATATATTGGCTTCGGAAGCATGGTATGTGATCTCATGTATGAAGTGATTCAAGTTGTAGTGTGTATTCCTTTTTTATGTTTTATTCATAAATTTTCTTCTGTTAGTTTCTTGTCAATTTTTACCTTCAAAAGTATCACAATTAGAAGAGAGGCTCTTATACTCTAAAAAGATATAAGCTCTTGTACATGATGCTTTGCTCCAACAGAGAGAAAGGATACATGCATTGTTATAATCAAATCTTATATTAAATTTGGAAGGACTGGTGGGAATTAGCCTTGTTCCTAGAAAATGGACGGTTATCTCGTCTAATATTGTATGCATCTTCTGTTAACGAAGTTCCAAGGGCTCTTTGTGTAGCTTGACACAACCATACTAATTAATTTCCAAAAATGATAATGTTCCTACCTTTGCATATAGTGTAGACTTGAATTTTCTACCTATGGATATTTCTGCCCTTACCTGGAATCTGGATGATAATTTATGGCCATAATAAAGTCTATTTTTCTTCTGAAGAGGGAGGCGGGATATGTGTAGGCTGATGGCTTTTTTTGTGCCGTTTTAGTACTTTGATATCCATCTTTCTTTCTGTAAACCTTTTAATTCTTTCATGATTCACATTCGTGGCTGATAAAATCACGTTTTCATCATGACTTTTGAAAATACTAAAATCTGAAACTTCACCTGTTGCTTGTTAAGCCACTTGAGGATCCCAAGAAAACTACGGAGATTATATTGGAGGCGTTGAAAGATACAGGACAGAGAGGAATAATTGACAGAGGTTGGGGGGACCTGGGGAATTGTAAGTGTCTACTCTTTTTCCAATAAAATTTCATGCTTTAATCTGATATTCCTTGGAAATTCCACTGTATTTTATAGTTCTTTACATATTACCAGCTTTGGTTTTCCAATTAGTGTCCATGTTGATATAGAACTGGACTATATCGCCGTTATAGTTGGAATCATTTCCTCTCTTTTTTAATTAATTTATGTTGCATCTTTTGGTAAGAAACATTAGGGTTAATAAAGGTTACATCTTTTGGGACGATACTTTTGTAAGATTTGGAATTTGATTAGGGTCACAATAGCATTAAAGTTAGCAGGTCTGTAAACTGTACTGTTCACATATGCTTTCTCTTAGACATGTGCTCTCTCTCTCTCTCTCATTTTTTAATTTCCTTTGTTGGTTTTGAATGCCAATTTGACTATTCATGTTAGTTTTTGTATTTTCTGTCCAATTACATGTTTGTTGTAATGGGTACGTCAAAGATTGTTCCCATAGTTTATTGGTTTATATAATGCCTATTGTTTACATATGGTTGCCCTCGGACATACATACATACATACTCTCTCTCTCTCTCTCTCTCTCTCCCATTTGTTTGTATTTCCTTTTTGTGTTTCGAATTTCAATTGATTATTCATGTTACTTTTCATATTTCCTATCAAATTACATGTTTGAATTAACGGTATTTTTACCCCAAAAAAGAAAGGAAAAGGACAATCAGTTGTAGTCGCTTGTTTTGCATTAATGATAAAGCATCTGATATGCTTTCGTCTAATTTGATTTCCATGTTGCAGTTACAGAAGCATCTGATAATGTTTTCCTATTGGAGGACTGTCCTCACGATTGGCTGTTTCCTCAATGTTCAGCAGTAGTGAGTTGCATTTTATTTTATTTTTAAGTTTGAGGGACCTTTTAGATGTAGGTGAATTTTTTAAATTTTTTGACCAAAAAAAAAAAGTTGCTTTTATTTTTTTTTTTCTTTAAGAAATTGTTAGTTTTTAGTCTAGAGATGAGTAATAGGTTTCACTTTTTGTTCTTTTTTAACTAATTATTACTCCTGTAACCTTTAGAGAAACTGGAAAATTTCTAAGTGGCATACAGTAACATACTGTGGGTAAATCAATTGAGAAAAAAATTGTAGAGATTGATTATTACTGCATGTTTTTGTTAAATATCTATTGTTTAGAGTTTGGGGATGGTCAGCTAACTTGAAGCTATACTACCACAAATATGCAGGTTCATCACGGTGGTGCTGGGACCACAGCTACAGGATTGAGAGCTGGGGTATGATTCTTTTCAGTCAGTGTGGTTTTTCTAATATCCATGATTTCTGGGATAATGGATGCATTATCTTTTCATGTTTCTGATCTGGGATAATGGATGCATTATCTTTTCATGTTTCTGAGACTTTTTGGCATCACCCCACCTGGCCTGTGGCTGAGGTGGTAAGGGTGGGGTCGTTTCTTGATTCAAATCTTGCCAAGCCGAAAAAGAAAAGAAAGTATTTTGTGATCAATGTTTTGAAGAGTACTTTGAATGAGTCAACACATTATGTGATACAAGATAACTTTTAGTCACACAATATGTTACACAACTTTCTTAAATTCCGTTATTTGTTTTTATGAGTTACTGTGCATAGCTCTCTCAAGTCAACTTATTATTGTAAATCCCTTTAATCTATGCTTAATTATTGTATATTTACTAGTTTAGTCTTTGTAAGATTTAACGGATCCTCCACTTAAGAAGAATATATTAAGAAAATTCACAAAATCTTCATGGTATTAGTGCAAGTCATCCATGTGTTGGGCCTAATGGCCACACGTGCTCCCACACATGTTGGGCCTAAGTTGTCCACATTTTTGGCTTGAATGCGACACACACGTGAGGGGCTTGTTAAGAATATCATCCAACAAGGGTAAATGGAAGCCTTGCACAGTAGTTTAGAAGATCTTAGGTGTCTCCATCCATTGCCATGTGGTATTGGGTTGGATAATAGTCTCAACGATCTATGACAATTAAAGCTATTTTAACCTGTTAGATTTATTTATTTATTTATTATTTGAAGGGAGTTGAAACTTGTTGGAGATTATCTAACAGCGCTATTTTACCATGTACAGTGTCCAACAACCATAGTGCCATTCTTTGGAGATCAGTTCTTCTGGGGTGAGAGGATACATGAGAAAGGCTTGGGGCCTGCACCAATACCTATTTCTCAGCTGAGTGTCGAGAGCCTTTCAAATGCTATCAGATTCATGCTGGAGCCAGAGGTATTTCTAATTTCTGTTCCTGCCTATTTTATCTAGAAAACATGTTAGCTTGAAAATGATTTATCATCTGAATGAAGAAATTGACAGGTGCAGTACAATATGGAAATATTTTTACTATTTTTACTCTTATGGCATTCATTATTCTAGTCATTTTTTCAAAAGTTGTGACCACTTAAGATTGCTTTTCATCCCTAAGATTTCTTAATTCTTTTTGAATCAAATACAACCTAGCTATAGATTTTATTCATGAAGAAATTACACATGCATGAGAGATTGAGTGTGTGTTTTTTAGGTGTCACAACCACTGGACCCTGAACAGATTAAACTGTTAAAGAATGAGTTAACAATGTACATCGAGCTAACACGAATCTTCATGTATTGCCCCATCCTGCACGTGAGGAGGCTTATTATGTAGGTGCAGCCTCACCTGACACTATATTAGACAACAAATAAACCACTAGAGCTTAAGCAATGGGACAAAGAATGCATATCAAAGATGTTTTCGCAATGTTTTGCTCATTTCAACTTGAATTATAGTTTCTTAACTAAAAATACATAGCTCCCTTGTACTTATGTATATTATTTGGGTGAAGATGATTGCTTTTAAAAATACAAAAACAGAGTCTGATCATAATCTTATTTTCTTTCTTTTGTTTCCACAATCCCAAAATGAGTCACTTGTTTAAGTTTCACATTTACGAATAAGAACTACGTTATGTGAGCATAACAAAAGATTTCTTTAAACTTGAGTATTTTCTGTCCACATCACACATGATGCATTGTCTACCTGCTTGAACAGTTGCTTACATAAACAACTGGAGAATATTACCAAATTGAAATGACATTTAGAGATTCTAGAGATGTGCACGTATGTTTCATTGTATTGTAAATTAAGGAAGAAGATCCTAAGGCTGTAAACTCCCAGAATACGAAAATGGAAGAAAGCATTCTATTGTTATTTTACAGTTGTTCTTGCATCTTGCAATTTAAATGTAGTGTCTTGAAGTCAAAGAATATGTGAAATTATGTGGCTATACTTTGAGCAGTAGTAGCATTAGTTGATAAGAGGTCATGTGGTTACTATGAAAATATTGCAGCAACATAGCAACAAATGCACATAGCAACACCATGCATTTGTTCTAACCAGGACTTTAATCATCCTAGGTTAAATCTCGGGTACTAGAAATAGCGAAGTTGATAGAGAATGAAGATGGTGTTGCTGCCGCAGTTAATGCGTTTCATCGGCAGTTACCTCCTGAGTTACCAATGCCAGCTTCATCTTCAGAGGAAGGTGAACTTCCAAACCCTTTGGTGTGGTTCTTTCTTCAACTTGAGAAGTGGTGCTGCCTGCCATGTGGTTTGTAGGATTCTTGCTGTGTCTTGTACTGTTGTACAGATATGTTTCTTCTTCTTTTTTTATAATTCTTTTTATAGTCATATCATTTTAATTTGGTGTTTCATTCATTTCATTCATGGCTTCCCTGTGTGGGTTTGATTGATAATATTGTTTACAAGCTAATGTAGGTTTCTCACAGCTTGTGCGACAGAATTAGATTGTTCCAAAATTCATTTTCAGTTAGTTAAACTGACAAAATGAGAATATAACTGTGCTTAATCAAGCGCAATTATTTAAATCAATTTTTTGGTTCCCAGTCTTTTATTATTTAATGAAGTTCGTGCTGTGTTAGTGTTGATTGACCTATGAAATATTAATACCGGGTCTTGCAAAAGAACCTGCTTGAATATTTGCTTTGTTATTTTGATGCTGTACCCCAATCTTCTCCAACCTTGTTTTGCAAGCACACAATCATAGGACAGTGGACAGGGCCAATTGAGTTTGGCCGTCATGGCTTGTTTTGTTATTCGCGGACACTGATCTTTACATATTCCCGGGTAACATTTAGTTTGTCTAATTATCACCCAGAACTGTGTTTGTACTTGTCACGTACATTTCTTGAAAATTTCCTGATTCTACTAATTGAGCTTTCCATACTTTCCCCAAAGGCATATACCATGTCAGATAGTTCATTACATATTGAGTTTGTTTGAATCACTTGGAGAACTGTAATCATGTGACATTCTAGAAACTGCCTATATGAGTCAACAATTCTATCGCACCTTCACATAGTTCATTAAGAAATTTAGATTTCCAGAACACTTTTGCAGTTTGTTCATCTTTTTAGCGCAGGTTGATTAAGAAATTTATTGATTGTACAAGTTGTTTACTTGGTAGCTGGAGGCTGAGATCACAGGCAATTTTAGTTTATAATTATAAAGGTGCTACTAAATCCTGTATGATTTGCACTCATAAAATCTACTTTAAGCGAAATAGAAGAGGTAGAAAGAGTTATAACAGTTCTAGTCAAACCATAGCTTTTTACGTCAATAAATAGACTGATAGATAGACACTGTAACAGCATACTTTAGCTATAGTAAATAGAAATATTCTACAAATCCCATCATTTTTTGTAAAGTTTGATCTCTTTCCACCGTGATTCCATGTAGTTGCTCGAGTTTTCTGGTGCAGCATATACTCCACATTTGAAATACAGGTCCCCTGGTCCCTGATCTTTCACCACAAACTTTTTGACACCATCGATGAAAACTATTATCTTCCCTTTGTCAACATTGTGGATTATGTTTACTCTGAACCACTTATCATAGAGATTGGTAGCTACTACGTTGTATTTGTAGTATTTGATATCTCCATCATACATCCTTAGTTGTAGAGATGTAGCTCCCTCAGCTGCACCATGGATCTGTACTATTGTAACCCCAGAAGTACCACTAGGCACAAATGCATAGCCTTCAAATTGCCAAATCCCAGAAGAATAGTCATGACCCTGCAAGAAAACCCGAGTGAAACTTGTTATTGCCATAGGAAGGAGTTTGAGGGGGCAGGGAAGTATATATATATATAGAGAGAGAAAGAGAGAGAGAGTACCGATATGCGCACTTCCGAACGGGGCCTAGTCGTGCTATCGGGTTTGAATGGCTTGTCATGGTTGTAGATCCAGAAACTTCGAACTCCATCCTTGTCACTGTAACGATCATCGAGGGGTTCGTTGTAGGGTTTCTGTAACTTGAAGTTCTCTTCTGTTAGTGGCACAAGGGTGAATCCATCAGTAGGATCAGCGGCACAAATATAGCGATACTTCAAGGTCAATAGGATCAAGCACAGGAGCTTGCAGTAGAAGGAATTCATTTTAATGCAATTTAGAGGCAACATGGAAGTAATGGAAATTGAGGCTGTGGAAGATGGATACCAACCTAGAATATGGTATGCCTATTAATAGGAACAACTTGATAATTGCTTTCATGCTTGTGTTTCTGTTCTTTTGGTGCTATTGGTTATGACAAACTCCACCAGTAGAAATTCTATGCATGTCTTTCTTTTTGTGGTCAATCAGACTGAGTGGTAATTACATGAGGCGTTTTTTCCCCAGATACAAGCGATATTGGGGAAAGGGGAAATCGAACATAAGACCTCGAGTGTTGGGGTAAATACTCTTAACCACTTGAAAACATCCCCCTTTTTTGTGTTAAACTTGCCCCCATCAAATATTATATCATTATTAACATTATTAAACAGGGAAGTGAATTAGATATTGTTAATCTTGACGTGGGTTTGCTTCCACTCATCCAAAAGAATTAAGTTAAAGTTTAAATAATGCTGTTTGTGGTTATAGTCAACTTATCGTATGAATATTGCCTTGTCGGATCCTTCAATCCAGAAATAGCATTCCCCCCTTCCTCCCTCCTCAAATACTCAAAAGAGTAGTTGGTCATGCCAACACAGCAGTCTGCCATAAGTCCTTGTTTCATTTTCCTTTTCTTCATTCAATTCACCAAACATATTTTTCCAGCCAATAAAACAAAACATTCTTATTTTATAGGGCTTTACCATAAAAGGACAAATAAGAGGGCACAAAGACAAAATGGTCAACCCATCAAAAATTGGACAAATGGGTTTTGTAACTGTCCAACAGTGACATGAAATAAACTTTTAAGTCACTTACTGAGAGTGACATTGAACAACTCTCAGGTCACTGTCCGTTAGTGACATTAAGAGGTATTTCATGTAACTGTTTGGATTGATTTGTCCAATTTTGAAGGAGCTGGACCATTATAACATTTTGTCTTGGGTGAATGACTTTTTATTTATTTATAATCATAGTTGTTATAATAACATTGTTTTTCCAGTATCAGCCAACTTTGATTTGTCATTATATTGTTTCTTTGGTGACATGAGAATTAAATCCCAAACTCTTCTTCAGGCAGCCAAGGATCAAAATTGCCTCTTGGGCTTCGTAGAGTTAAAGATTGAAGGAGCATAGCTCTTGGGCCTGAAAAACAAGCTTTATTAATTAACCTGTTTTTATTATTATTATTATTATTATTATTATTATTATTTTATATTCTTACATCGACTCCACCACTATGGATCACTTCTTGAAAAGTTTGACCTCCTTCCACCTAGATTCCATGTAGTTACTTGAAGCAGACAAGGCACCATAAACCCCATATTTGAAGTAAAAGTTAACTCGGCCGTGACCATTTACGACAAGCTTTTGCTTGCCATCGACAAAAATGGTGACCTTTCCAGCACCAACATTATGAATGGCATTAAGTCTAAGCCATTTGTCGTAGATATTTTAAGCCACCACATTGTTTCCATAGTACTTGAGATCCCCATTATAGACCCTCAGTTGCAGTGTTGTAGCTTCAGTCGCTGCATCATGGATTTGCATTATTACGACGCCCGAGCTGCCTCGTGGCACATAGAAATTGCCCTCAAATTGCCAAACTCCAGATGTGTAGTCATATCCCTAGTAACAAAAAATAAAAATAAAATCGGTGCGTGAAAAAGATCGATCGACAATACAACACACACTTGTTTTGAGATAAAATTCGATGCCTGAGCACACTAGCGGAGTTAGGAATTTTTATAAGGATGGGTTATACATATTATTTTTCTTCATTTTAGGAGCTCTTAAGGTAAGTACTGATTTTTAGGATGAGGTGGACTATTTCCACCAAATAGGACAGACTTTCTACAAATAGTACTAAACTCCTATTTTAGGAGCTCTTGCTAGTGTGCAACTGAAAAATGCATCAGGTAAAAGATGTCTTACGTTAAAGTGTGTGATGATAAGCTTTTCCTTGTTAGACACATTACATGTCTTTTAACACGCAACTTTTGCTGTCATTCAGCAGTGTCACGTGACTGGAATAGCTTCACATATTTTCCTCGCAACAACATGAAGGACATGAAAGCCGTGGGCCCCAAACACAACTTTGGTTCAAAATTCACTTAATGAAATGTTAATTTGGGGCATAATCTGAAAAATATTATTCTAATTTCAATAAAATCAGCCTAGATGTAGAGAGGAGGTGAAAGAGATCAATACATACAGAAATTCTTATCTCTGTGCGTGGCCTGGTTGGACTGCCTTGTTTAAAGGGCTTGTCATTTGTGTAGACCCAAAACCTCTCAACTCCATCGACTTTGCTGTATCGATCCGCCGGAGACTTGTCATATGGTATCTGTAACTTGAGGTTTTGTGCAGCCAATGACACACGTACGCGTGGAGCCATCAGTAGGATCAGCAGTGCACAGGGTTTCCAAAAAGCTCAACAGCAGCAAAAACACAACCTTCTTGCAATTATAAAAAGTGGTCATTTTGTAGGATATATGCGTGCAATGCAACTCAGATATATTTATACCAAGGCAAAGATATGCGTCTCCACTCCACAACGACGACGTCTTACGGAGGGCATTTTCGTATTAATAAAGAGAAATTGGTCTTCTTATACCATGAAAATAACACTCATGTTCTCATTTTATTTTATATTTTAAATTTTTTTTAATATGAATTTTGTTATTTATAATATTATCCTATGAATTTTTTTAAAAAACATTTTCATTAACTAATATTTTTAAATTCAAAAAAGTTTCACCTCTATATATAAAGGCAGAGAGTCTTCTGACCTTTTTATTATTTCAAAAAGCGGATTATAAAGTTCATTGAAGTAGAAAAAAACCCAAACGGGCCAAGAGTTGATTGTTTGATTTTACACACAAGGGATGAATTTTTAAATGGGAAATAAAGTGGAAACAAAAGGAAAAAGAAGCATGTAGTGAATTATTAGAGGGGGAATGTGCTAAAAACTTATTGAAGGGAAACATTAATTAGTTCTTAGTCTGACGGTATTTCTCGATTCACTGCTAGATGATGTTGTATGTTTTGTTTCTCTCTTTCCCTTGATGAGAAAACTAGACATAAATAAAAGAAATTATAGATTGATTTTTTATTTATTTAAATAAAGATATTTCTTATTGAGAGGAGTGATAGCAAACTAAACACACACACTACACGGATGCTTGGTTTCGAACCCAGCACCTTTTCTGGGGAGCAATTGCTCCAAAACCACTACACTAGTGGATCTTTTGGGTATAGATTGAATTAGAAACGATGATTTTGACTCTCATCCTTTACCAAGCATTATAATTGGACCCGCAGTTTCAATTCAATATCGACAGTTTTCTTCTAATAATTGTAGCAACGTGGTCTAACGGCAATCGAAGTTAGGCAGTTGCCTACCATTAATGGACCATGCTGCTGTTGACCGCATCTCAGATCTACAATATAAATATATTTAGCTTCTTGCACATATATGCATATATATCCTACAGAATGAAAATGGCTTCTTGCTTAAAGAAGGTGGTGTTTTTGCTGCTCTTGAGCTCTTTGGCAACCCAGCAGCATTTATGCACTGCTGATCCCACTGATGGCTTCACCAGTGTGGAATTCACGGACGAAAACCGCATGTTACAGAAACCCTATGACAAAGCTCCTGAGGATCGTTACAGTAAGGTGGACGGAGTTGAAAAGTTCTGGATCTACACCAATGACAAGCCCTTTAAAGAAGGCAGTCCAACCAGACCACGCACAGAAATAAGAATCACTGTAAGATTTTATGTTGTTGGTGTAATTTCTCTAGCGTTAGGGTTTTTATCTCAAAGTAAAGTAATATAGTTTATTTGTTACACAATTCCTAGCAAGTTGATATTTGTTTTTCTTTTCATTCATGGATTTTGATCTATAGGGACATGACTACACTTCTGGAGTTTGGCAATTTGAAGGCAACTTTTTTGTGCCACAAGGCACCTCGGGGGCTATAATAATGCAGGTCTTTGGTGCAGCCAATGAAGCTACAACTCTGCAACTAAGGGTCATTAATGAGGATTTGAAGTACTATGGGAACATTGTGGTGGCTGCTAATATCTACAGTAGATGGGTTAGACTGAATGTGATTCACAATGTTGGTGCAGGGAAAGTGACAATGTTTATCGACAGTGACCAGAAGTTAGTCGTTAACGATCACGGTCGAGCTACTTTTTACTTCAAATATGGAGTTTATGGTGCCTTATCTGGTTCAAGTAACTACATGGAATCAAGATGGAAGGGAATCAAACTTTTCAAAAAATGATAGTTTTGTTATCATTGTAATTTCGACTTTCACCGTCTAATTTCAAGTTACATATATATGACAGAAAAATAAGTAAACCAATAAAGCTTGTGATCATGAAACCTAACCTTAGTACATTTTAACTTGTGTATGTATGTTCTTTTTGTATTATCAATGAGCAAGAAGTTGGTCCGTTTCTTATGGTTAATCTAGGCTTAACCAAACCGATTGATCACTAGATTTGTTTGGTTTGGTTCGGTTATCTGTAGTCTAGTTTAAGGTATAAATTGAAACCACTAGAAACTCAGGTACTGTATTGATTCGATGTGTAGTTTGAGGCACTAAACTCTGAAAATCCCTACTTTATTGGATTGGAGGACCATCAGACACTCACACTATACTTGGTACTATCACTAACGATTAAATCCAATTCACCTAGCGTGCGGTTTTATCACGCTAGTGTTACGAATAAAACATAAGTGTTAAGCATACTATACAATTTATAATATAAGTGGATTGATAAAATCGCACGCTAGTGTTACGGACACACTTAATATTTCTCAATATTTATTTTCAAAAGAACTGAAAATTAAAAATTAAAAATAAAAACGAAATAGTTACCCAAACGGGCAATAGCAAATCTAAAATTTTAAAGTGCACATTTTGACGAAGCCAGGCTTACAGTAATTCTTGTCACTACTACATTTTAGCGTTTGCGCGACGAATCAAAAATAGTCGCGCAAAGAACAAATCTGTCGCGGAAACAATAGCGCGACAGATATATCGTCGCGCAAAATCAGTCGCGCAAATACCGTCACGCTAGACTTTGCGCGACAAAACTATAAAATATCGTCGCGCAATACCCTTCGTTGCGCCAATAGTTCAGGGACGACAAACAATCTGTCGCTCAATATTTTGCACGACGAGAGTACAGGCGTTGCAGCAACTACGCGCGACGACACTTCAATCCGTCGCAAATATTTTTTGCGCGACGAATTAACAGACGTTGCATGAACATAATGCGACGACATATATTCGTCGCGCAAACAATATTTGCGCGACAAATATTTCGTCGTTGCAAATACCTTGTGCGATGAATAAGGATCGTGACTCAAACCCTTGCGCGACAATGATTTATTTGTCGCATTTTCTTTAGGGGACAAATACGTCCGTCGCGCAAACCGAGGATTATATTCGTTTACGATATATTTTTATGGTTTTTTTATTTTTTAAAACGTGATTTGCGCGACGGGTCATTTTTTCGTCGCGCAAATATTAGTAATTAATTTTTTTTTAAAATTTATGTGAAAAAAAAAGAATTTTGATTTATTTTATTTTTATAATTAAATCAAATTGCAATTGAAAAATGTAATGAAGAGAAAATAGTTTTTTAAAACATAATATAAATGTATAATATACAAGAGAAATATTTAAAATGTAATTAAGAAAGTAAAAAACTAATTAAACAATGTAGCTAAATCTACTTCCTCGTCTGGCAAATGCGGCTCGGAGGTCTGGACATTGGGGACAGGGGCAGAGGTTTGGTGGCCATGCGCAGAGGTGGACGGGGGAACAAAAGATGGTACGGGAACGCCGGACTGGGCCATTGACTGTATAATCTGAGCCATCTGTGCCATCTGGGTTTCAAGCTGGGCCACCTTTGCTGTCAAAACACTATTTGACTGCGACGATGAACGGGATCTAGGTTCCCGCCGCCGGGCATTCCCCATCCCTCGACAGTATGTCCCGGGCCGCCTCCCTAGAGTCTGATCCAAGGTGTCCGTCAAGATCTGAAACCATGCATCCTGTGGAGGAGCCACAGACTGGCTCTTCTCAATCATGGTCGTCTGTTTAACATAACATAAAATATAAATAAAAA